CTCCCCCTCTCCCCGCCCCGCCCCCGCCGCCTTCGCGCGCCGCCTGCCTGCCGCCGGCGAGATGGGGGTCAAGGTGAGTGCGCCATGAGTACCCTGTGGATTTGTTCGGCGGAGTATCTGGGGACGCCTTTCCCCGTCACATTCGAATGGAGAGGCGATTCATTTTGTGCGTGGCTGTAGGGTTTGACGAAGCTACTGGCGGACAACGCGCCCAAGTCGATGAGGGAGCAGAAGTTCGAGAGCTACTTCGGCCGCCGCATCGCCGTCGACGCCAGCATGTGCATCTACCAGTTCCTCGTATAGCCCCCATTCTCCCCCCTGACCCACACGGCCTCTCCTCCATTTACTGTTTGTTTCTCGTATCGTGCTTGCACGCCAGTAATCTGGGCCAGAGTTTTGTGCTGAAGAGTCCATCTCTATACGCGGCTGGTCGCTGGCTCCACGCACATTCGGCGATCCGGCACAGAAGATCTGCTTTCTTAGGTTGGGTTTAGGGTTCTGTAGACCCTCGTGTGGTGACAGTTTTCTGGTACTGGTCGCCTAGTGCTGGAATATTTTCCCATTTTATACTCTTAGAAGAAGATTGTTGCAGTAGGCTACTGCCAAATTTGCGCCCACCCCTTGGGCATATAAGTTAGTGTCTTCTTAGTTTGCCTGAGTTGATTAACAATGAGCTGATTGCCTCTAGCATAGGATGTTTTCTCTTATTTACAACATAAAGGAAGGAACAATTTAAAGTTGCACTGATGAACTGTCTTCTGTGTGGATGTTAACAAGCAGTTGTGAGATAATAGCAAACAATTTTTTTACCCACCGCGATGAAAGGTGGGATATGTTTCTTATGCTTTCCCTTGTACAGATTGTAGTTGGAAGGACAGGGATGGAAACCCTTACAAACGAAGCCGGTGATATCACCAGGTTCAGATCTCTCTCTCTCTCTCCAACCATACTTAGTATTATTTGAAGTACTGCACAGAATTTATAGTCCTAGTATGTATGTTCATGCGGCTCTTTCTTTTTCTTGAACAGTCATTTGCAAGGCATGTTCAGCCGGACAATAAGGTTGCTCGAGGCAGGAATTAAACCAGTGTAAATCCAAATTCTTTCATTTCTCAATATCAGAAGTCTTCCATATAATTACAGCTGAAAATATAAGTCTATTTTTAACGGGGTCACAACATTGCTCATGCAGATATGTTTTTGATGGCAAGCCTCCTGAAATGAAGAAGGACGAGCTTTTAAAAAGGTTATTTATCCGTTGGTTGTTTCCTAGCACACTTTATATGTTTGCCTACACTACTTTTTAGGTTATACAATGCTAACCTGGAATACTTGTCAGACACGCAAAGAGGAATGAAGCAACAGAAGAGCTGACGAAGGCAGTAGAGGTTTGCTGACGTTGCTTTGATCAGTTTTTTATCCACGTTCTTCTATGCTCTCTTTTTTGACCCCTATGGGGAATGCATTTTGTTGTTCTAGGCAGGAGATACGGATGCAATTGAAAAATTCAGCAAGAGAACTGTAAAGGTGAGAAATTATTATTTTCAGTTGTTTGTGATAAAGAGTCTTGAAAATTTTCATCAGTCGTAATCTCCTTAATGTAAGACGATTTGCATTGTGTTAGGAGCCAACTGGTTCTTTCACTGATCAATTATCAACTGAATTTTTGTATATTTTTATTTGCATAAAGTGATGTTATGTAAGAGTATATGCGATGAATTAGTTTTCAGAGTAAGGTCTAGCTTTACATCTTTCCATGTCCTTTATGAGCAGGTCACGAAGCAGCACAATGATGATTGTAAGCGTCTACTAAGACTGATGGGTGTTCCTGTTGTGGAGGTAAATTCAGTTTTGCTCACTGCCATACATATTTTACAGGGTACACATTACCATATATAATCATGTTTTTATATGGAATCGGTAAATTCGCTTTCTATCAGCATATAATTTATGATTTATAGTGTGTTCGTGATGCTGTAATTTCACTTAAAGTTCCCTCTCCTGTACCACCAATAGGCTCCTTGTGAAGCAGAATCACAATGTGCTGCCCTTTGCAAGAATGACAAGGTAATATTAACATAGTGGACGTCCACTACCTTCTTGTTTTCACCCTCTGCTTCCATTTTTATTTAGTACAGTTTATTTTGTAGGTGTATGCTGTTGCATCCGAAGATATGGACTCACTTACTTTTGGAGCTACACGGTTTGTTCGTCATTTGATGGATCCAAGTTCCAGGAAAATACCTGTTATGGAATTTGAAGTTGCGAAAGTATGAAATATTTTGTTGAGCTTAAATTTCATCCTTATCTTGTATACACTTAACCAAATTTCATACTGCAGATTCTTGAGGAGCTTGAATTCACTATGGACCAATTCATTGACTTGTGCATCCTCTGTGGATGTGACTACTGTGATAGCATTAAAGGTATCATTGCTTACTCTTTTGCTTTCATTTTGTTGCCCACATTTATCAAATTATGTAGCTAGTAGAGAAGTTTTCTAACTGTATGGGATCTTGTCCACTAGGCATTGGTGGTCTTACAGCTCTGAAGCTCATTCGTCAGCACGGGTCCATTGAGGGCATTCTGGAAAATATTAATAAAGACAAGTTAGTCCTTATCCATTTTGAAGGTTTTTCTATTGACTTAGTACTCAGCTGAATCCAACATGTCAGTTGTGTAGCAGTGGCCCAAGATTTATCTACTTTGAAGTCATGCACCTCTTGGCCAGTGAAATTCTGGTTTGTGTTGGTTTCTTTGTTAATTTCTTTGCATGTGTCCATTGTCTACTGTAGATATCAAATTCCTGAGGACTGGCCTTATCAAGAGG